TGGAGGCCATCTTGGGCGTCTTGGAGGTCTCCTGGGTCGTCTTGGGGCCTTCTTCGGGCCTTCATGGGGGCCTCTTGGGCAGTCGTTGGACCATATTCTTGCCTGCGGTTCTTTCCGTAGCCATTTTGTCTCAAGCTCACTGGGCTCGAGACACAAGATATCTGGCACGGTCTGCCGAGAGCAGACGTGAGCGATGCAGAACGACGAGGGTAGAATTGTTGATCTCTACATTCCGCGGAAGTGTTCCGCGACGAACCGCCTAATCCCTGCGAAGGAGCACGGTGCCGTGCAGCTGAACGTTGGCCAGGTGGACGAGACTGGAGTGTACAGGGGTGAGTTCTACTCGTTCGCTCTCGCTGGGTTCATCCGCAAGCGGGGCGAGAGCGACTCCTGTCTTAACCGGCTGCTGCACGAGAAGGGGCTTCTGACGTTCTCCACGTGAGGTTCCCCTCACAGGGTAGGCGCGATCCGCCCTGGCAAGTGGTTGCGGCATCTCTGCCCGTCGCACATCGAACAACAAGCACATGGGCCAGCTTAGAGGCTTCTTGGACGATCTTAGGGCGTTCTTCTATGCCAATTTCCTTCAAACGCCTTAGGCACATCCAGGATTCCCGCCTCTTCGGGCATTCCTGGGGAACCTCTTGAAGGCTTCTGCAGCCGTCTTGGAAGACTCGTGGTTTTTTTGGGCCGTCGTTGGCCATCTTGACGCCATGTTTGGCCGTCTGAGGTGCTTCTTGGGCCGTCTTCAAGACATCTTGCGGCCATCTTGGGCTTTCTTGAGGCCATGTTTGCCGTCTTGGAGGCCAGCTTAGCCGTCTTGAGGGCCATCTTGGAGCCATCTGGAGTGGAAGGCCTTGCGCGCCACTTCTTTCGCGCGGCCAGCGCGATCGACCGAAACCCCACTGGGAACCTTGAATGGATGACGGAAAGAGCGAGGTACGAGCGATAGACGTTTCGCAGGCGAAGCCCTTATAGGGAGGGGGTCTGGGGCATTGGGCTTGCGGGGGAACAACAGTCTAGTTGCCTTTTTTCCTTTGTTTTTTCCGAGTGAAGCGGCTCCCGGGCGGCTCCCATGGCCCGTGTCTTCGTATTGTTTCGAGTGACGCGGCCCAAAGGCCCCAAGACGGCCCAAGAGGGTCCCACATCAGCTTCAGAGGGTCCCAAGACGGCCCCAAGAGAGCTTCAGATGGCCTCCGGGCGGTCCAAGAGAGTCTCGAGACTGCTCCAGAGGCCCTCAAGAAGGCCCCCGAGAAGGCCTCAGGAGGCCACAAACCACAAACAGTGATTTCCTTTGAGTTGCTGCAGGCTTTTTCGGGTTTCTCTTTGTTCAGTCCCAGAAGGGCCCCAGACGGCCCAAGAGGCTCCACATATCGTCCCAAGACTGCCCCAAAGGCGCCCCGAAGAGCCCCAAAACGGTCCAAGAGGACCCCCAGACGGGCCCAAGACGGCCCAGGAGGCCCCAAAGATCGTCCCAAGACGGCCCCAGAGGCCTCCCCAAGGGGCCGAATGCGGTCCAAGAGGGCCCCCTGACGGCCCGCCTGGTGCGCCAGATGCGCCACGTGCTCCGCGTCCGCCAGGTGTGCCGCATACTCCAGCCGCGCCAGGTGCGCCACGTTCGGGGCACGTGCAGAGTGTATCAGGTGCGCCTGCGCACGTGATGGCACATCGGGAAACATGTCGACCCCCACCATCTTGATCGAAAACCAATGCCCCTCAGTGTGTCTGGTGGGCCTGCGCACAGCAGGGCATACGCCACCACCCCCGCCGTCCCTGTCAAAAACCACTTGGCAGTGATTGCGGGGTGGCCGCGCATTATCCTGAATTAGCCGCGAGGTGCATTTTGTTTTGTTTTTGTTAGGAATGGTAGCCCTGCGTGCAGCAGGCAAAATGCTGACACCCCTGCCGTCCCTGCCAAAAACAATACAAAGTGCTCGCGGGCCTCGCGAACATGATTCAAGAATTTGTCACAAAGTGTATGTTCGATTGTTTTTGGATCGGGATGGTGGGGGGGGCGCATCGGGTTGGCCGCGCGTGCTCCAAATGTGCAGGCAGAGTGCGTCTTGTGTAGTTTTTTGACCGGGCTGGTCGGGGGGGAGAGCATGGTTCTTGGTTGGCCGCCCGTCGCCTGGGGAGGGGGTGTACCAATAGGGAACAGTGATAAACCTTTCTCCCAATCAGGGGAATGAGGGATATTGGCAGAGACAAGACACAACTCGTTAAACCACCTACGCTCAGAGGGTTGGCGGGATTCCTTCGCGGCGAGGGGGAGAAGGGTGAGAGGGGAAGTGGGTGGGGATGCGGACGAGGTGGAGGGACGCTGGCATGAGGCCTCACCCATTCAACGGCATTACACGAAGGTGGACAACACTGTGAATCCTGGCCCCAGGCAGTACAGCAGCCGGATTGACGATTTCCGATAGTGAGCCTGGGACGAGCCAGGGCGCTTGGGGTGTTGTAGCATTTCTCAGGAGCAGGTATTCAGGTGGGGATGAGGACGAGGAGGGGCGATTGATGATGATGATGATGCTGATGCTGATGCTGATGCTGATGATGATGATGATGATGATGATGATGCTGATGAGGTTGATGATGCTGATGTTTTAGATGATGATGATTATGATGCTGATGATGATGATCCTGATGATGATGCTGATGATGTCGGTGATAGTGATAATGATGATGCTGCCGATGATGACGATGCTGATGCTGATGATGACGGTGGTGGTGGTAATGATGATGCTGATGCTGATCATGTTGATGATGATAATGATGAGTAGGAGCAGGATGATGATGAGGATGCTGATGACGATGCTCATGATGATGGTGATGCTGATGATGATCCTGATGCTGATAATGCTGATGATGATGATGATGATGGTGATAGTGGTAATCATGATGCTGCTGATGCTGATGACGATGATACTGATGATGATGTTGGTGGTGGTGGTGGTAATGATGATGATGCTGCTGATGATGATGATGAGAAGGATACTGACGATGATGATGAGGATGGGGATGAGGATGAGGATCAAGATGCTGATGCTGCTGATGATGATGATGATGCTGATGCTGATGATGATGCTGCGGATGATGGTGGTGATGATGATGACGACGATGATGATGATGCTGATGATGATGCTGATTATTATTATGATGATGATGATGATGATGATGATGATGATGATGATGATGATGATGATGATGATGATGGTACTGATGATGATGATGATGATGATGCTGATGATGATGCTGATGATGACGCTGATGTTGATGATGCTGCTGATGATGGCTCTGATGATGATGCGGATGGTGATGATGCTACTGCTGCTGACGATTATGCTGAAACTGATGATGCTGAGGATAAGGCTGATGCTGATGCTGATGAGGATGAGGATGATGATGAGGATTATGATGATGCTAATGTGCATGAGGACGATGACGAGGATGCAGACGATGATTATGCTGGTGCTGCTGCTGCTGATGCTGCTGCTGCTGATGATGATGATGATGATGATGATGATGATGATGATGCTGTTGCTGCTGCTGCTGATGCTGCTAGTGCTGATATTGCTGATGATGACGATGATGCTGATGCTGCTGCTGATGATGATGCTGATTATGATGCTGCCGATGATGATGCTGCCATGACGTTGATGACGTTGCCGATGATGATGATGCTGCCGATGATGATGCTGATTACTGATTGTGATGATTATGATGACGATGCTGCTGATGATGAGGATGCTGTTGATGATGACGACGAAGACGAATCAACATATGATGATGAAGATGATGATTATGCTGATGATGCTGATGCTGATGCTGATGCTGCTGATGATGATGATGATGCTGAGGATGATGATGATGTTGTTGATGATGATGATGCGGATGATGCTGATGGCGATGGTGATGCTGATGCTGATGCTGATGTTGCTGATGATGACGATGATGATGATGATGTTGATGATGATGATGCTGATCATGTTGATGATGATGATGCTGATGATGATGATGATGATGATGATGATGATGATGATGATGATGATGATGATGATGATGATGATGATGATGATGCTGCTGATGATGATGCTGCTGCTGCTGATGATGATGTGATGCTGATGATGATGATGGGATGGTGGTGGTGGTGGTGGTGATGATGATGATGATGATGAGGAGGAGGAGGAGGAGGAGGAGGAGGAGGCGGAGGAGGGGAAGGACGGGGAGAAGGATGCTGAGGAGGAGGAGGTGGCGGAGGAGGAGGAGGAGGAGGATGAGGTCTGGCGGGGACGAAGAGGAATTTAAGATAACAGGGACGGCGCAGAAGAACAAGGAGGAGGAGGAGGAAGAGGAGAAGGAGAAGGATAAGGAGGAGGAGGAGGAGGAGGAGGAGGAGGAGGAGGAGGGAAGATGGGAAGGAATGTTCGAGGAAGTCGAGGAGGCAGGAGGAGAGAAGTAGGAGGAGGCTGATGCGGGGGGGGAGGAGGAGGAGGAGGAGGAGGAGGAGGAGGAGGAGGAGGAGGAGGAGGAGGAGGAGGAGGAGGAGGAGGAGGACCGTTTGTATCCCCTGGCGAAACAGTGGGGGCCCATGCCAAGAAACACCCTTCTTGCCTCCAGGGTGGGTTTCTCGGGCTTCGATGGTTTTGCAATGGAAAGCGTGATGTTCCCACGGCAAAAATCGATGGACGTCTTGTGGTCTCAGGGTTGGGTTTCTTGTCGAAGGTTTCTTGTGGTCAGGCCCCCACTGCAACGGGTGTGACGGGGGAAGGGTGGGGAGGGGGCCGATCACGTCCCGATATCGCGCCAACGCAGTCTGGAAGTGTCTAGGACTGGCTCATTCCCACATGGCGTCCGCGCCAGGGGGGACAGGGGTGGCGGGGGGGCGGGGCTGGTCACGGGCGCTATCGCGAAGAAGAAAGAGGCGGGCCCCAGAAAGGCTGCTTGCTCCCCCTTCCGTTTGATCTTCTGCGCTCGGCCCCGTGGGCTGTGCGCGCCGCCGCAAGGTGCTGTTGCCCCCCGGCGCGGCGCCGATCGGCACCCCGCCGGGGCTGGACCTGGGGTTCCCCAGCGACGCGATGGCCCGCGCGCACAGGCGCGCTCTGGGGGCGTGCGCGGGGAGGGCCGCTGCCGCCGTCGCCGTCGTCGTCGCGCCACCGTCGTCCTTCGCCTGCTCCCTCCTGTCCAGGCTCGGAGCCCTCCGGGGGTCGAGGTGGCCCAGCACGGCGACCGCTGGTTTCGCCGACGGCTGGTTTCACCTGGCTGGTTTCACCCGGCTGGTATCGCCGCCCGGCGAAACCAGCTCCGTCGGCGAATCCAGCTCCGTCGGCGAACCCAGCTCCGTCGGCGAAATCAGCTGCCGTCGGCGAAACCAGCTGCCGTCGGCGAAACCAGCTGCCGTCGGCGAAACTGCTCGACTCGACCCGCCCGCTAGGGTCCGCCCGCCCGACCCGAACCGCCCGTTAGGGTTCGCGCGTGCTCGGTCGAGCGCGCCCCACACTTTCATGTCCCGCCCGCCCGACCCGACCCGCCCCGACCCCGCCCGTCAATGTCCGACCTCCCGACCCGACCCGACCCGCCCGCTAGGGTCCGCCCGCCCGACCCGACCCGCTCGTTAGGGTTCGCGCGTGCTCGGTCAAGCGCGCCACACACTTTCATGTCCCGCCCGCCCGACCCGACCCGCCCGTCACGGTCCGCCCGCCCGACCCGACCCGACCCCGCCCGTTAACGTCTGCCCGCCCGACCCGACCCGCCGCCGCTAGGGTCCGCCCGATCCGCCCGTTAGAGTTCGCGCGTGCTCGGTCGAGCGCGCCCCACACTTTCATGTCCCGCCCGCCCGACCCGACCCGCCCGCTAGTGTCCGCCCGCCCGACCCGACCCGCCCGTCGCCCGCCCGACCCGACCCGCCCGTGAAGGTTCGGCCGTGCTCGGTCGAGCGTGCCCCACACTTCAATGTCCCGCCGCCCGCCCGACCCGACCCGCCCGTCAGGGTCCGCCCGCCCGACCCGACCCGGCCCCGCCCGCTAGGGTCCGCCCGCCCGGCCCGACCCGCCCGCTCGGGTCGGACGCCCGACGCCCGACGCCCGACGCCGCCGCCCGACGACGACGACGACGACGACGACGACGACGACGACGACGACGACGACGACGACGACGACGACGACGACGACGACGACGACGGCGACGGCGACGACGGCGGCGGCGGCGACGCCGACGTCGACGTCGACGACGGCGTCGGCGAAACCAGCGTCGGCGAAACCAGCGCCGGTGAAACCAGCTGCCGGCACAACCATCGGGGAAAAACCAGCGGGGCGAAATCAGCGCCGGCGAAACCAGCGCCGGCGAAACCAGCCGTCGGCGAAACCAGCCGTCGGCGAAACCAGCGGGGCGAAACCAGCGCCAGCGAAACCAGCGCTGGCGAAACCAGCTCATGTCCCCATCACTGGTGCGGGCCAGCAGTAAGGGCGGGCAGGTTGGAGGTTCTGGGTTCGGCAAGTTTTCCGGCCTTCTTCGGCCCCCGGGGGCAGTTGTCGTGCCCCAGGACCGTGAAAAACGGATCCCGGGTGAAAAACTGCACCAGATGGACTCCGCGGGAGGGGTCCGGGGTCCGAGTTTGAGCGGATACGGCTTCATCGCCCCCTCGTGACCGATTGGCTGGGGTCCCAACCAGTTTAGACCCCCCTGCCGCCTCCAACTCTAGGCCTCCCGGATTGGGTCCGAGCAGATGGGGTCGTCGGAGGATCGCGCCGCATCGCCGATGCATCGCCAATGCGGCTCGATGTGGAGCCCGATCTTCTCCACGCAGGCGTTTCCGCTACATCGCCGACGTCGCCGATGCGTCGCCGATGCATCGCCGATGTATCGGCGATGCATCTAGGATGTGGTGCGATTCCCCGACCCCATCACTTGGACCCAATTTGGGAGTCCACTATAAGAGAACGAGCGTGTTCGGAAAACCAGGGGGGGGTCACTGGGGTTTCCCAACCCGTCCCCCACCCCCTCGAAAACCGGAGGGGGGGGTCTCTACTGGTTCGCCCCCCCCAGTCCATCACGAAAAGGGGGGGGGATCATTACTGGTTCGACCCCCCCCCCCCCCCCCCCCCGAAAACCGGGGGCTCACTACCGGTTCGAACCCTCCCCCCCGCCCTCGAAAACCGAGGGGGGTCACTACTGGTTCGAACGCCCCCCCCTAGCCGCTGGCAAACGATTCCCGCTCCTCGGGACAGTTGGACAATGGTGGGGATGCTGGGACAGTGGTGGAAACGGTGGTGGTGGGGACAGTGGTGCGGGGACAGTGGGACAGTGGTGCGGACAGTGGTGGGGACGGTGGTGGTGAGGACAGCGGTGAGGGACAGCGGGATAGTGGTGGGGACAGTGGGAATGTGGTGGGGACGGTAGTGGTGGGGACAGTGGTGAAGGCGGTGGTGAGGACAGTGGTGGGACAGTAGCACAGTGGGGAAAGTGGTGGGGACAGTGGGGACAGTGGGGACAGTGGGACAGTGAATGGGGACAGTGGGGACGGTGGGACAGCATTGGGACAGCGGCGGGGACAGTGGGACAGTGGTGGGTACAGTGGGGACAGACAGTGGGACAGTGATGGGGACCGTAGGGAAAGTGGGGAGAGTGGGACCGTGGTGGGACAACGGTGGGGAGGGTGAGGATAGTGAGACACTGGTGGGGGCACTGGTGGGGACAGCCGGGACAATGATGGGAACAGTGGGAACAGTGGGGACAGTGGGACAGTGGTGGGGACGGTCGGTGGTGGTGGGGACAGTGGTGTGGGGACAGCGGGAATGTGATGGAAACAGTGGTACAGTGGAGGGTACAGTGGTGGTGGTGGGACAGTGGTGAGGGCAGTGGCGAAGACGGCGGTGGGATAATGGGACAGAGGTACAGTTGCGACAGTGGTGGGGACAGTGGGGACAGTGGTGGGAACAGTGGGACAGCTCAGTGGGACAGCGGCGGGGACAGTGGGACAGTGGGACAGTGGGACAGTGGGACAGTGGGGACAGTTGGACAGTGGTTGGGGCCGTGGAGAAAGTGGGGAGAGTGGAACCGTGGTGGGAACAGTGGTGGGGACAGTGGGGACAATGCGACAGTGGTGGGAGCACTGGTGGGGACAGTGGGGACGGTGATGGGAACAGTGGGTGGGGACAGTGGTGGTGAGGACAGTGGTGCTGGGGACAGCAGCAGTGGGTGATGTGGTGCGGACGGTGGTAAGCGTGAGGGGGGGAGGGGTTCGAACCGGTAGTGGCCACCCCCCCTCAGTTTTCGAGGGGGGTGGGGGGCGCGGTTCGAACCGGTAGCGACCCCCCCCGGTTTTCGAGGGGGTGGAGATTCGAACCGGTAGTGACCCCCCCCTGTTTTCGATGGGGGGGAGGTTCGAACCGGTAGTGACCTCCCCCGGTTTTCGAGGGGAGGGTTCGAACCGGTAGTGACCCTTCTCTGGTTTTCGAGGGGGGGGTTCGAACTGGTAGTGAGCCCCCTCCAGTTTTCTGGAGGGGGGGGGTTCGAACCGGTAGTGACCCCCCCGGTTTTCCGGAGGGGGGGGGGGGTAGGGGAGGGGGGTTGGGAAGGGGGGTTTTGCCGAGGGGAAGGGGGGGGGGGTCCAGCAGGGGGGAGGAGGTATTTTCGGAGGGGGGGGGGGACCCCCGGGTGGTTCCAGAGGAAGAGGGGGGGGGATTTTCGACAGTAAAGTGGCGGTGGATCACGCTTTCTCCTATAAGAGGATGCATTCAAGCTGCGCTTTTTACACTAGACCGTTCATCTTGCAGTCTCTTCATGCGGTCGTCATTGCAAACCTAAGCATGTGGTTCGTGGTCGTATCCTGAATGCTGCTACCAACAATATGCGGACAATGATCCCATACCCTTCAGTATATACTTTCGCGAAACGCACAGTTCATCACACTATCCCCGCTCAAATACTGCAGAGGCAGCCCTGCATCACGCCCTTCGAGCCAAACTATGACACACGAGCGATTGAGTTGCGTGCGATCTGACGCCTAAGGTGACTAAACGATGTCGGCTATTGCAAGCACTAGCAGACCAGTAGTGACGATGTCCAGCCAAAACTGCCAGGTATCCAGCTGCCTCCGGCAATTCCGCCACCGTACATGCCCAGCATCCTGGGTGGCAGCTCTTCGAGAAGTCAATGGGGCCTGCTGAAGCTCTTGGGGGCATAACGCTCGAATGCTTGGTTCGCGTTCCCACTCTTGGGTCCTTCTTGGGGCCGTTTTGGGGCCCTCCTGGGCAGTCTTGGACCCCTCTTGGGCCGTCTTGGAGACTTCTTAGGCCGTCTTGGGGCGCTCTTTGGGGCCTCTTGAGCTGTCTCAGGGGAGTCTTGGGGGGCTCCTGGGACGTCTTCGAGCGTCGGAAGCTAGAAAGGGCGAGAGCCCAACACGCATTGAACAAAGCTACGGATAACCGATGTGTTTGCTTCTCGGTGCCATCTTGGGGGTCTCTTTGGGGCCTCGTGGGGCCTCCTGGGCCCTCTTGGGGCGGAAGGCTCGAATTGTCGGTTCGTGTTCATCCTCTTGGGCCCTTCTTGGGGCCCTCTTGGGCATTTTCGGGCGCCTCGTGGGCCGTCTTGGGGCCCTCTTGGGGCGTCTTGGGCCGTCTTGAGGTAGTCCTGGTGGCCTCTTGGACCGACTCGGGACGTCGGGAGCTAGAAAAGGTGAGAACCCGAAGCACATTGAACGCCACAGGATGTCCAATGATTGTTGCCTCTCGAGGCCCCCTTGGGAAGCCTCTTGGGGCTCTCTTGGGACTCCTCGAAGGCCTCGTGGGCCGTCTTGAAGCCATCTTGGGCAGTCTGGCCCGTGCTGGAGCGATACAGTCGGGGCGCCGAAAAAGAAACCCGTTTCGTCGGGGAGGGGCTCGGTGTTCCTTAGTTGTTTTACACTGTGCCTTTGGTTTCCCTTTGGTTGTCGATGGGAAATCGAAGTTTAACTGATGGAAGAAAGGGGCCTCGTTCCTTATTTAGGGTTCCTTAGGTCAACGCCCTGAGTGTACTGGGCCGCCTTGGGGGCTTCTGGGCCTCGGGCAGAGGGGGGCAATGCACGCAGCTGGGTGCTTCCCGAGAGGGCCCCCCCCC